CATCTTTGAGGCCCCCACAGAGCCTAGGAGTCAAAGCCCATACTTCAGATTTGGCATTCAGGGTTCCTTCCCAAGACTATCGCTGCCTGCTTTCCATGACTCCTCAGAAGATGTCCCTAGAGCTCCTCACAGAAGGGACACAAGGCTTCCTGCAGCCTCAAACATGGCGGGGAGTTCATGTCTCCCAGCCTCTGTGTACCCTGGGATGCTGACTCCACCCCTGATTGTCTAACTCTTTCCTCATTCTGTATAAACTCTCTGTGTGACCCACCCTGATGCCTACTGTCCACCTAGATCCCTTCCTGGAGCTTGTCCAGTGATCGGCAAACTTGGCTGTATGTGCCCAGGGAATTTTCCAGTGTCCACTGTATGTCTGGAACCCAGAAGGGTAATGAGGATGTTTAGAAAAAGGAAACAAACAGAAGGGGAAGTCCAGGGTCTGCCTGAATTCCTCAGTGATAAGGGCCGGAGGGAGCTGCCCTAGCTCTGTCCTCCCAGGGACCAATCGTTGACCAGATGGCTAAAGGCAAATTTCTGGCAAAGGATTGATGCTACACAGACTGGGGTCAAAGACTTGGGTCCTATCTGAGGATGTGACTTCCTGGGTGACCTCAGGTCCCTCTCTGGGTCACTATTTCCTCTATGTTCTTCCAGACAGGGGTGTTTTATTCAACTAAATGTTGGCAGACAGTTTAACTAACTGGATACCATACCTCTTCATGGTTCACAGCTAGCCAGGATTCCCGATTATCCTGGGGGGCTCCTGGATTCATGCCCCTCTCCTCTCTCTCTGTCTCAAGACCATGCTCTGAGGCAGTACTTCTGGAGGGACAGTTGCATGATGTCAGCCAGAATTTTATTAAAGAGTAGCAGACGGAGGTGGCTAAGAACTTGGTGTGGCCCATAGTGATTCAAAAAGGAAGATCTGGGGAGATGGTTGTTGGTAACCTGTTTGCCTTGCAAGAAAAAACACTTGAGTTAGATCCCTGGAACCCATGTCAAAAGTAAAGGAAGAAGTGGAGGCAATAAAAGAATGAAGGAACACAAAGCTGGGTGTCGAGGAGGAAGCTGAAATCTCAGTGCTGGGGAGCCCAAGACAGGTGTATCGCTGGGCTGCAGACCAGCCGACCCGGTCTGCTTGGCACATGCGAGGCCAGTGCGAGCCCCTGTTTCAAAAAATAAGGTGCACAGTGCCTGAGGGACAGCAGCTTAGGTTATCTGTGTGGACATTTACGTATG